GGAGGGGCCCCACGCTGGAGCAGTTTGTGAAGAACTGCAGCCTCTGGGAAGGGCTCATGTTGGAGAAGTGGGTGGAGGAGGGTCTCCCGTGGGAGGGACCCCACCTGGAGCAGGGGGAGAGTGTGAGGAGGAAGGAGCAGCAGAGTGTGATGGACTGACTACAACCCCCATTCCCCATCCCCCTGTGCTGCTCAGGGGGAGGAGGGAGAGAAATCAGGAGCAAAGCTGAGCCCGGGAAGAAGGGATGGATGGGGAGAAGGTGTTTTAGTATTTGATTTTAGTTCTACTGATCGGCAATAAATGAATTTTCCCCAAGTCAAGTCTCTTTTGCCCGTGGCAGTAATGGGTGAGTGGTCTATCCCTCACCTTATCCAAGACCCGTGAGTCTTCCCTCTCCCCAGCTGCGGAGGGCTGTGACAGCGGCTTTGGGGGTGCCTGGCCTCCAGCCAGGGTCACCCCGCAAGACTGACGCGGTCTGGAGGGAGAGATGTGGTGAAGGAAGTCCGGTGTGGCCAGCATGAGCCTGTGGTGTTGAGGGGTGTTTTCCTGGGCAAGTTACGCTTTGAAGAGAATCTGTTGAGTTCCAGAGGGGAGGGGGTTTGCTGCCCCTTTCCCCATGTTTTGGGCTGACCCAGGGTTCCCAAGTGACATGTTTATTATGTTCTGCTGCTTCTCTACGGGGGAGTGGTGGTCCCTTGGGTGACCACTGCTCAGGGGCACCTGTACCTTGGGGCCTGTACTGACACTTCTTGGGGGGGCTGTGGGCATCGGGACGCAGCGCTGCAGCCTCAGAATCCTTTGGCAGTTGGCTGTAGGCAGGGAATGGGAGCTGAGTGTGGTCACCCCAAATCCAGGGGCCGATGCACGCAGCGGGAGGCACAGCCGATGGCTGAGAAGCGCCTGCTGTTGTGGCCAGCAAAGGTGGGATCCCTGCATGGCCGTCACCAGGACTTTGAGACGCCGCGTGGCATCTGCTGGTGGCAGGAACGCTCCTGGTTAGGAGTGGGGATGAACACCTTAGTTTGGAGAAAGTGGTTCTGATTCATGAAGTGTCTCTGTTCTCCTACTTCGTTTCATCAAACACGAGTAGGAAAAAGCAGTGAGCCCTGGCCCTTGCTGGTCGCCTTCCACAGGTTTGTCCCGGTCCCAAGGGGCAAGAGCTGGCTGTCAGCTGAGTCACCAGGGGACGTTTTGGCTGTGACCTCTCACCGAGTTTGTCACGATTGAGAAATCCCCTGGGCTGACACACGTCAGTAGTCAGAGCTGGGGATCCAATCCAAATAGCAGAGGGAGCAAAGGCTTTGGACCACGTGCGCCTGGCAGCGTCAGCCGCAAGTATCCGGGCCAACTGGGCAAGGCCAGGACAGGGTCTGCTGGTTCCCTGTTCCCAGAAGGGCTCTTCTGGCTGTGTCCGGAGGAGCAGAGCCCTGTGCAGTGATTCCCAAAGCTGCGAGGCTGGGAACTCATCCTTGCCTCTGCCCCCCTTCCTGTCACTAACTTGGCTCTGCTGGGGGATTTTCCTCCACGATTCATTGTGTAGGGGTCGACACTGGGCACTGCTGTGCATCACTGTGCGGTGTTCCCCCCCGCCCCTTGTGGGGCTACCCCCCCGCGATGATGATGGTCCAGGGGGCCAGCTGGCTTCCAGAGCAGAGGCAAAGCCCATGCTTTCCCCATGTACCTCCGCATCTCGAACACCCCATGGTGTTGGCTCCTGGAGAGCAGGCAAGCAGCTGCATTTCCAGCCACTGCTGTCCTGCTGTCAGTAGCCACATTTCCCATCAACGGCCCCTGCAGATTCCAGAGCCCCCTCCAGCTGGGGCTGGGCTGAACTACAGCCTGCTGGCGAGGCTGCACGCTCTGCATGGTCGCAGCTGCCCTGAATTTCAGGCTTTTTGTAGTTCTGTGGCATTTCCTGCTCCTCCTGTTTGACCTGCAGCTCGTCTGGGCTGTGATGGTGCCAGATCTGCCCACCCTGCTCCTGGCTGAGCCCAGCGCTGCTGCGAGGACAGCCGTGGTCTCCTCTGCAGGTGGCTGGATACCACTGGAAAAACCTTCCTCAGGATGCAGACTGCTTCACTCCTACTCTGCAGCACAAGGGTTTCGCGGCCCGGGAGGAGCTGCTGTCAGGACAGCAGTCCTGGTCCGTGTTTCGCCCTGGCCTGACAGCGTAACCATGCTTGGCCAATGACATCTTAATCTGGGATAAAACCTGCTTGGTTTGGTTCTCTTCGCTTGGTTCTCTTCTTCCCAGAGAAGCTGTGGATGCCCCATCCCTGGAAGTGCCCAAGGCCAGGCTGGATGAGGCTTGGAGCAACCTGGTCTAGTGGAAGGTGTCCCTGCCCATGGCAGGGGGGTTGGAACTGGATGATCTTTAAGGTCCCTTCCAACCCAAACCATTCTATGATTGGTGACAGGGTGTGTGACAGTCCTCACCTAGGGCCCATGTGCAGGGTGACATGTTCACCGTGCCACCCCCTAGCAGAGTTTAGGGAGTGCTGGTCCTCCCTAAACCGCTGGAGCTGTGTCTGCAGTGTGCTCATACCTGCACGGGCTTCGGGGCTGACTGCATGGAAGCTGCTGATGCTGCAACGACAGGGCTTCACAGGGCCAGGAGACATCATGGCAAAGCCCCAGCCTTGAATGGGCTCTGAGACTGGTCTCTTGCAGCCATTGCCAGTTCTAGTAAGTGTGGTACGGCAGGTTCGCCCAGAAGGGCACAGGTGGGGGACAGCCAGGCTGTGCCGCATGTACAGGGACTGCTGTGTGGCACCTGTGTGCTCTGCATCCCCTCCGCAGGTGTAGGACGGCCCCTGCTGCCCTCCTGTACCACCACAGCCCAGCTGCGCACGGTGCTGCTCGGTCCCATCGGCGCCAAGCAGCACCTCACTCTGTCACGGCTCTGCAGGTGCGGGTCCTGCTTGTGGCATCTGTTACCCCTGATGGCCCTGGCCACCACCTTTCACTGTCGCGTTCCCCTTGCTGCTCCCGAGGGAGCCTGTGTCAGTAAATTGGGCAGGTCGTGTGGGTAGTGGCTTTTGTTAGACGAACTGATAGAGAACGTGGAAAAAATAGATGAGCCGTTAGGTGCATGAGCCGTTCCGTGAATGAGCCGTTGGGCGCATGAGCCCTTGTTCGGAGCGCCGCAGGTGGCACGGCAAAGCGAGCCCAGCTCGCTGCGTCGCATCCTTGGATGATGGTGGTGCTTGCTCTTCAGGATCGGGCCATGCCTGAGGTGCAGTGCTGGGGTGTTCTAATGAGGCAAGGCTCCGCTTTCCCTCAAACCCTGGGCACGCCTGGGCCAGTCACGTCAGGAGCCACTTGCAAACATCTTTGGTTTGGGAACGCCGTGGGAGCTGAGCTGGGTGCTGCCCAGGGGAAGGGCCATCCCTGGACGGTGATACGGTGACACGGGGGGGCACTGTGCCTCCTGTGGAGGGCAGGAAGTACCCACTGGTTATGGGACGCTGCGGGGTGCCTGCTGACCACCCCGCTGTGAGGGACTGCCGTGGGCTGGTGGGCGCAGAGACGTGTTGGGGGCTGCGTTGGGCTGTTCAACGTGGTGTCTCGGGGTGCTGTGATGGGTGTTGCAGACAGGAG